TTCACTAACATCCACATCACTCATGTTTGCTCGTGAAATTGGCATCCGATCCGCTCCAAACATCGAGAGGCTGCCATCAGCTGAAAAATGATGCAGTGAGAAGGGCTACATTTGTAAAGACGATTTCCTCACCTTGCCTCCCTAACCCAACCAAAATGATAAAATACAAAAACAAAATTAAAAAAAAAAAAAACTTGAATTGTCCTTCGCTGAAATTCTAGTCGAACGTCGGGAAGCAACGTTCTCACTGGAGATCGGATCTCTGACAGAAATTCGACTTTCCATTCCCAAATCACCTTTTCTCCCGCCGATTTCCCCCACCGTATAACGGCCCAAAACCATCCTTGATTCTGAGAGTCCAAAAATTCAAAGTCATAAGAAAAAAATTCAAGCATCTGTAAATTTGAAACACGACACAATGTAAAAATTTCACAAAAACATACATGAACCACCAGCGACGTTACGTTTTTGCAAGTAATATAGAATTTGCTCGAGCTCTTCCACTCTGTAGTCCGGTATTATTGGACACACCTTGATAATATGTCGTGCCAATGCTGATGTATCCACTCCTTCGTTGAGATCTTTCAGATGAACGCTGCAAAAAACACGCAATTTTATACTGCCATTGCGAATGAAATCCACACACAATTAAATAAAAGTAGTCAGTGCCTTGGAAGAATCCGTTTGAAAAGCCATTTTAAAATTATATGAATGAGAGGAGCGCAAGAGAGAGAAGAATGGAGAAACTGCAAATGCAACAGCAGCACGAAATGTGACGATGAAACAACTGCTGATCAATGTGTAACGCCCATCCTTCGGATGTTCGATCGAATTCCGGACAACTAGAATTGGCTGGCAATGAGGAAGGTTCCGGCACTTCGCTGTTTCTTAAGAATTACCATAATCGGAGGCGTAAAAAGAAAGAAATTTTGCTTTGTTTTACAACGAAATACAGAAGCACTAGACGTTGAAAAGCGACAACAGCACCCAGATGGAGTACCACACAACAGCTCGAAATGAACACAACACTAGGAGATCCGTACAAAAGTACACAAAACAGAAAGAGGAGGAGGAGGGAAGAAGGGAAGGGACGGGCTTGAGGAAAGCGGGGTGAGGATACCGTCGGCTCTGTCGAATATTTCTGCCTGCTCATTTGCTAGTCGATTTATTTTCGCGTGCTTCCGTCAACAAATTTTCGTCAACTCGATTTCTTATATTTCTTTCGCTCTGATGGACCCTTTTTGAAGTCTTATTTTCAACAGTGAGTGAGAAAATATCTTCTACCTCCTCCCCCTACCCCCACACCCCTCCGCCCCGCTCTCCCTCCGCTTTTTTACGTCTTGATTCAACGGTAAATGAGAAAATATCCTTTATGCCCGCCCTCCCCCCCCCCTTCTCTCACCTCTTTTCTCATTTTTGCATAACCTAGGAAATGCTAGAAGATTCAGAAACAACAAACATTTTTTGGCAATGTTTTAACTGCGATGCAAGTGTCGTGCTTTGTGAATCGTGTACTGCAGCTTCCAGTTCATATTTGATCACAATAGCCGGTTCGGTGCTATGCGCATCCAATTCGATATTTTTCAATTTCCTGAAAATCAGTTCAGATTGAAGTAGAGAGAGACCCATCGCTTTCTATTGATAAAACAATTACATCTTTTCAACGAATACGATCTTTCATGGCAATAAAATTCTAAAATCCTCCAAAACATCACTTTTTATTTTTTCTTACTGCATAAGCAGTTTTGGAGGGATTTAGAATTCCCTCATGAATTACTGCTACGAATTTTTGCACTGCTTATGGCCTCAAAAACGACAAATTCACCACCTATTAGCAGAGCAGAGCATAGCTTCTTAGAAGGTCAGATGAGAAGATGGGAGCGCTTTGGGCAAAGGAAGTACCAGGTAAGGTATGTATCAACTTATCTGAAATATGAATCCTGGTAAACTTATTTTTCCTGTTAGAGTTTCAATTTTTTGCTCTGTGAAAGTTCAAGAAATCGGATAATAAACAGATCAACCTCTCCCCAAGCCCCTCCTCCCCCTCCCCATTCACTTCGGCTAATCTCCCTGATCATGGAATTCAATACCCAATAAAATATAAATTAACCGTCCATTAAAGGATAAGAGAAAATGATAAGAGTAGAAAAAATGAAGAGTGAAGGAAAAGCAACGTAAAAGCGAAGTAGAAGAGGGAAGTGGGAGTATGAAAATATATTGGAAATATATTTAAATATAAAAATTTAACAAAAAAACGAAAAAAAAAGTGAATAAATAATAGACGAGAATCTCAATCAAGTCTTCACTGCTGGTTTCAGATGATGAGCAAATTGCTACTTATCAAATCAGCTCTTCCTTTTCTTTCCATCAACATCGCTAATGCTCTCCTCTTTTCTTCCCGTCACCTTACAAAGCCAAAAAAAAATAAAATAAAAAATAAAAACAAACTTTTTTAAAAATTGCCCATCTTTTGAGCCATCTTGCTCCATCATCGAATTTTCGCCAATTCACCGTAAAGCAGTATCGGAGCTCTGTATCAGGCATGCTTTCGAATCCTCGTACTTTGAACGTTCCCGCAACATCTACAAAATTTTGAATAAACAAACCAACTTTGTTAAAAACGCTCTCGTTTTGAGATATACACGACGCATGCAGTACAAATTCCAATTACTCAAAATCAACATGGTAAAATCCCCTCACTCCCTTAATTCAAATAGGCTATGCAATAGGCTGCCAAAAGCAACTACTCACCTACAGCAGAGCAAATAAGTGAATAATCTCGTAATAAGATAAATAAGATAATATATTTTTATGATAAAAGAACTAATAAAATGTTGAAAAATTTTTTTAATGACAAGAAATGTTTCGGTCCATTAAGTCGTATACATTTCTTAACAATACCACAACTGGACCTCTTCAGTACGACGATTGTGGTAATTAGTTTGAATATGATTAAAATTTTGTTAAAACGGGATAGATAACTCAGAGAGCAACTACACTGAATGTTGCAAAAAAATTTTAAGGAAACAAACAATGAATATCGCTGCCTAGGAGACTGGAAGAGGACGGGAGCTTGAAATCTTCTATGTCTGAAAACCGCACAAAGATTTCGCGTAATTTGTTTCCTTTTTTTAAGCGATTTAACCAAACTGTACCAATAAGATTAAGCGCTGTCATAGTTATTATGTATCGTTGCTAAGCAACTCATCCATGCGCCACGGAAAACCATATTTTTCTTCTTTTTAAACTCTTTCCGGATAATTTAGTGCCAAAAATCGCGGAAGCATTCTAGAGGGGTAAAGAGAAGGTAGCATAGCAGGAAGAGAACGAAAAACGCGAGAAAAACAGCCAACTGGTACAGTTTGGGAGGGCCTATCTCGCTCCACTACACCTTCGTGATGGTACGCGCGTTCTAAACGCAGAAACAGTGAAGAATGCTAAGGCGTAATGCAAGCAGTTCCATGCCCACCCCAATGTAGGCTTTTTATGTTTGGTATGAAATAATAGACCAGAAGGATTGTACTCAGGCGTCTCATGTGTAAGGTGATATTTTACAATACAAACTGTCTTTCATCGTTTAGATGTCGTAGTAAGGCTTTATTCTACGATGTTTCATCCCTTAGCTGCAAAAGCTTGATGCTGAAAGCAAGTTAGCAATCTTGAATCTAGCGTACTATTTTCACAGCTCGAAGCCGAAACCAAAAATGAGTGCGTATTACACAGCCGAGCTCTTGCATTTGTCAGCCGAGGTGGCTTTTCGTAGACATAGGTGGATCCAGGATGGACTCCTGAGAGAAGACGGGGGAAGGGGGCGGG